AGACCAAACTTCTTTGAATGTTTCCCCCACATTAACAGGATAATTAATGGATCAATAAATAGTAAGATGACTTGAAAACAGAAAGCCTACATATTTAAATATTTTCTACAGAAAAAAAATTTGCACATATCATATGACAAATGAAAATATATGTGGAAACAACTATCATTGTATCTGTGGTCAGTATGGTAAGACATTGTTATTCCTGCCATAGAGTTACAGAGAGCCCTAAAGTAAATAATGATGCTATTTTACAAGTAAAATGGGACTTGAGGCAAAAGCATCAATTTATTGAATATTAACATTTCTTGAAATAACCTTATGCAGCTGTTGACTTTTCTGCTAAACTATTGAAAAAAAAAAAAAAAAAAAAGCATATTTTGCTTACTGACAACCAAACACTACTAATCACCAAGTAGAATGTTCATGCTTAATTGGTTGTTTAATTAGTCTTAAGTACAATTTAAGGAAGAAGGGGGGGGTGAAAAAACAATGTTGAAACAACAGTCATAGGTGAAACAATTTTCTAGGTTGGGTGCGTTCACCTATGCAGATGTTAATCAACTATTGTCAGGGAAGTCATTGTCACCACTGTTTTGTTACAAGTAGGAAGGACAACAAAGGAAGAAAAGAAACGATAAATAACGGCAATCATGATATCGTCAAAGCAAAAAGAGTGTTTAAAATGAAAGAAAAAAAAACAAACAAACAAAAAAACTCAGGTACAGTTCTGATATTCTGTCACTTGTGGGCTTGGCATCTTTCTTAGTCTGAGCAAAAATCCCAAGAGGGCACTAGAAATTTTCATGATGGGTTGATTTATTTACATGACAAGTGCTGTTGTCACTGGCGATCTCTCTATTTTGTGACAGTAATTTCAACAGAAATAGATAAAAAAAAATGTTGAACTGCTATATCATATTTAATCTCTTATAAAGGTAATGATTGCTGGAATGTGCATTGTGATAGTGAAAGGTACCTTCCAAAAAGCTAAGTATTAAGAAATGGGAAATTTTCATTAGATACAAAGAAAAGAGTACCAAATTGTTATGCAATATCAGTCCTCCTATAGGGCAGTGAATGTTGGACAATTTCCTCACAAATGAAGTAGAGACTTGAAGCAACTGAAATCTGGTTCTACAGAAGGATGCTGAGAATACTATAGACTGAACATGTAAGTAACAAGGAAGCTTTAAGGAAAAAAGAAAACAAAAAGTAGACCTGTTCTTAGAATCAGAAAGACGATTGAAATTTCTAAGGCACATAATGAGGAAGCTGGTTAATTTATTTCTACAATTTATGACTTATGATTTATTATGATTTATGATTTATTATGATTTATGATTTATTATGATTTATGACTTATGATTTATTATGATTTATGATTTATTAATTTATTAATACATTTCTAAGGCACATAATGAGGAAACTGGTTAATTTATTCGTTTTCCATGTATATCAACAATTTGCATTTAATTTAAATCAAGAAAATATTTTTAGATTGTAAGAATTTTTTTTTTTTGAGATAATAAAGATACAAGTTTTACTAATTAATCCATATCTGGGGGAGAAGAGGTGGATTCATACCTTACAAAGAGTATTTGTGCGTAAGTAAATATAACAAACCAAATTGAAATTGGAATTTGGCTTTCTGATTAACAATTCCAAGCCATTATCCATTACACCACTTGCATATCCAAGATTACAGGACCTGGTATTCCCAAGTTGTCTAGGTACTAACCAGGCTCAATGTTGCTTAACTTCGGTGATCATATGGGAACTGGTTTTTCAATGTGATATTGCTGTATGTCATATAATGAGGAAAGAGGGCTTATAAAATTTGACACTCACATGATATATTAACGTCAAAAGGGATAGAAGAAAGCATTGCATAACCTACCTAACAAGCTTGTGTAAATTGTTGGCAGAACAGGGATTAGGAGAGATAGCAAAAAGACAAAACTTGCTAGGTGCTACAAGGGACAGGAAGTTGTGGAGAGCTACCAAGACCTACATCCTGAAGGGACACAGCACATAGAAGAATTTTATTTTAGCTTATAATTTTTTTTAATGGTAATTTTTGAAAGAAGTATCAGTGATTGTAATAATTTCTTTTATTATTAATTTTTGGTGGATATTTCATTAGTAGTAATTGTCTTAAGTTGTCTGAATTTTTAAATGAAGCATTTTTAATTATTAATTTTGCTTAGAACTAGTTTTGTGCTTTTATATCTACTAGTAATAGTAGAAAGAAAGAAAAGAAAAAAAGAATACTGAGCTGTTACATGACATCTGTCCTCCTTTACGGCAACGAATGTTGGATAATTTCCTCAAAGATGAAGAAGAGACTCGAGATGACGGAGATGTGGTTCTACAGAAGGATGCTAAGGATATCATGGACAGAGTGTGTGAGCAACAATGAGGTCTTAGAGAGGATGCAAACAAGGAGAAGGCTTATACTTAACATCAGGAAGAGGCAGTTGAGGTTTCTGGGATACATAAAGAGAAGAAGGGCCTGGAGAATCTGATACTCATGGGTTAAATAGAGGGAAAGAGAGACAAGGGAAAGCAGTGCGTGACATACCTGGCAAGCTTGAGCAGGTGGATGACAGAACGTGGTCTGGGGAGGAAGCAGAGAGAAGGAACTTGTTGAGAGCTGCAAGGGATAGAGGGAGGTGGAAAACCATGATCGCCTATTTCCTGAAAGGACGTAGCACATAAAAAGAAAGTAGTAATAGTCTAAAGTTGTGTGAACTTTTAAGACTTCATTTTTGCCTAGAATTTCTTTCATCTTATTTCTTTTACTTTTACACCTTGTAGTAATGGATTGTCTGTATTTCTTAGATGAAGCATTGTCAATAATTATAAATTTTTGACTAGTATTTCTACTGAAGTTTGAGAATTCAGAGTTTTCATTTAACTAAGGCTGAAGAGCCCAATCTGCCCAACTATTTTACTCATAAGGGAAGAAGAGAAGAATTTATACCTTTTCCAAAGGTATTTGCATGAAAGTGATTGTAACAAACTTGACTGGAATTTAAACTTGGCTTGCCAATTTCTTTAAAAATCAGTCAGTTATGTGCCGTGCATGATACATGCTTAGGTGATCATGTATCTTTTGATACATGACTGACGAGGTAGATTTTTTTTTCCTGCAGTAGGTTGCCATTTCTTTCTGTGGTAGATCAGTTACCATCCAAGGCTATAGAACCTGGTCTGTCCTGCTATTTTACCCATAGCTGGGAGAGAAGAGGATTCCTACCTTTCCCAAGGGTATTAGCATGCAAGTAAATGTATTGGATTTGACTGGAATTTGAATTTGGCTCTCTGATTCCTCATTCCGAGCCGCTATCCATTACTCCACCGTGCATCCCTCTTTAAAAATACAAACAGTAATTTTGAAACTAGTCATTGTCATTCCAAGAATCGACTGGTCTGTTCGTCTTATTCTTTTTGCCGTTTCAACACATTTTCAGCTGATCCATTCTACAGCCTTCCTCAGGTAGACGGTAATATTTTTTTTTTAAAAAACCATGTCCTTTCACTTGTTCCACACATATTCCTTTTATGTGCCATATTGCTTCAAACGATGGCGATCATAGCTCTCCACAGCTTACTATACTTTGTAGCTCTAAGTAATATTTTCCTCCTGACTAAACCTTTTAGTTCTTGTTCTGCCAAACTTGTGAGGGAGATTTTCCTGACCCTTTTTGCCTTCAGTATATCTTGTGGGTATCAAATTCTCCAAGCCCTTTTTTCTTATTGTGTCCTAGACATTTCAATTGTCTTTTTCTGATCTTAAGTACAAGAGTTTGTTTTGCTTCCATTTTTCTTAAATATTCTGTCCATGATATCTTCAGTATCCTTCTGTAGAAGCACATCTATGTTTCCTCATCAATGAGAAAATTGTCCAGCATTTACTACCATATATGAGGACTGACATTACATTGTTGTTAAAGACATTTGTCTTTGTTTCTAACAAAATGTTCCCATTAACACTTTTTCTTTAATGTCTATAAATTGTGAATCATCATGACAATTCTTGTGAAATTATGTGGAGTGGTTCTTTTATTGGCCTTCTACATGATTTTGAATTCACAATTGTCCTTCTCCTGAACTAGTTACACTATCAAGGCTAGAGAACCAAATATGCCCTACTATTTTTCTGATAGCCTGGGGTGTGGAAAAGAGTGTTTCATGCTTTTCTGTTGGGCATGAGAGCAAAGTGATACACATCAGCCTGAGGCTGCTGATTTCATTATGCCTCCCACACTTCCCAGTAAATTTCTGAGGAGAGTCATTACTAGTATTTTTCAGTACCCCCTCATATATGGCCATCCAATGAATTTGTTCAGCTGAACTGTAAATATTTACTCCAGAGATTCTTTGCTATACAAGGAATGGATAATTGTTCTTTTAGAGAGAAATAAATATATGTATTACCTCTGCTTTGAGGTTCTTTGGATCACTGTTGCTGATGACTTTTTCTCTGAGACTGAGAGCAATAAATATTCAAAAGAAGAGAAAAGTGAAAGAGAGAAAAAGAAGAGAGAAAAGAGAAAAAGAAGAGAGAAAAGAGAAAAAAAGAGAGAAAGAGAAAAAAAAGAGAGAAAGGAAAGATTTTTCATCTGTTTAATGAGGCATTTCTTAGAAAAGTTTTTCATTTTTTTTATTTATCACTTTAACTGCGGCCATAAAATCTGATGTTAATTATAAAAAATAAAAACCTTCTATTAATTACAGGTTTTTACCTATAACCCATTAATGCCCACTGTCGCATTAAGAAAACCAATACTGACAAGGCCATGTTCTTGAAACATCTAGAAAAAAAAAATAACCTTATCAATGACCTGCAATGTCACCAAAACAGGTGATTAGGTTTTGTTTTTTAACAGTGTCACAAGCTATAAAAATATCTTTAGTTCATTTCTGTCTAAATTTAGATTTTCTTTTCTAACATCTTCAACTTACAAAGCTTTATGTTTTTAAGGCATGTCTTTTTGTTCCAGTTATTTGATTTGTCTCTTGTGCATTTAAAAATTCCAATTTAGGTGTCATTTCTAAGAAGAATGTTATTTGTGGATTTTAAGCTTTATTTTGAAAATACATTCGGGGGGGGTCCAAGAGAAACAAAACAATAGATGGTAGGGAGGAAAATAAAAGAGCGGGAGGAGAAACAAAGGGGGGGGAGAGAGAGAGAGAAAAGCCAACTATAACAAAAATGGCAAATACTGCCAATGCACCTTTGCTAGGGCATCAAAGTGCAGAGAATGACAACATGAGTAAATGCAAAATAATTCTGCTTTGTCCTTGGACTAAGACCAAGTCAGATAGTCATGCTCCGCTAGCAGACATTCCAAGCTTGAGACACTGTCTGAATTCCTATCAGAAAAAGGATGCTCTAAATAACAGCCCATGTAGTGACTTCCCCTTGGTACCATTTCACCTGCTTAGTCTTCATCATACCAACACTTGTTCCTTCAGCTATGATAGACGTCATGTTGGGTATTATGACAGGCTGCAAAATCCAATGATCCAATGACTGCTGGTATCAAAATGTTTTAAAAGTACAATGTGATGTGTGTGTGTATTTATATAACATAGTTACAAACCGGTAGTTGACTTTGTAATGAAGGACAAACTGATTAAGCAGATAAGGTTAATTTTACACACACACAAATAATGGGATATACACTATAGGCCCAAAATTTGAGATCACCATATGGATTTAATAATTAATATGTTTCATGCCTTTTTTTTGGTTTAATTAACTCCTACTAAATTAGGATGTTAAAACTATTTAACCCATCAGTCCATGGTATCCAATCTTTTTAGAAAGGGGTTACGTAAAATTAAATTTGCCAGCCACAAAATTAGCAAAAAAAAAAATTAGACAAAACAAGTTAAAATTTTAAGAAACTTTATGCAGTAATGTGTTAATTTCATTGTTATTATTATTATTATTAAATAGATGATAAAACCCTTCAGGAAAACTAAATCCCTCAGACCTGAATCGAACGAGCAAATTAGTTTTGAAAAATGCAGGCAACCTTCAATTTTAGGCAATCCTTTAAAATCCAGAGTGGCCCCAAATGTTTGACCTAGAGTTTATGTTCTAATGGGTCCTGCCGAATTTGATTATTACCGTAACAGCTTTTTTTGGGCTGTTACAGCCTAGGCAGGTCAGATAATTATGGGAAAGTGGTTTGCCCAAGTACTCACTCAACCATTCTCTTTTCTATTAACCATCATATACTAATGACATGACATCTTGTGATGGGACAGAGTGCAGAGAGAAGTGGATTCTTACCTTATTTGAAGACCATTAGCATGAATATAATTGCCAATTTCATTTTCTGTTTGGTTTACTGCATAGCAACCTCAATGGGTTATTTAATAACTGGTAATATGTTTTTCCTTCAAAAATCTATTTCTGGTAATATTTTTCAAAAATGTATTGATGGTAATCATTTTTATTTTTTTTTTGTTACAAAGTATTTCTGGTATTAAAACCTATTTTTACACTTTCATAGTGTTTTGACTCCAGTTTGGGGGTTAGCTATTTGCCCATAGCTGGGACCATAACAGGTGCTACCATAACAGGTGCTGCCATCCCAGGTCAGGGTGGAGCTGAGAACACCAGCAATTAAGTGGTGGTTCCATGCTCCTCAAAACCCCCTGGTTAGAGGCCTTGCTGCCATACCCAGGCCAGTTCATCTTTTGTACTGGTAACTGTAATACTAGTGTATGATATCATATATGTGTGTCTTAATTTTAACTGAAGAAATTTTAAAATCTTGAAGTTGAGTTTTAAAAGGCTTTTGCACATTTGTAAAAAAAAAAAAAAGCAAGCAGAGACATTAGATGTATAGAATTGAAGTAGATTTTAGAAGCAACTAAATTCCCAATCCTATACAGAAAACAAGGGATAAACCTCTATTCTTGTTCAAAAGAGAGGGGAGGAGTATGAACTGGGCGATAGGCAAACCTATTGACTATTATCTTTTTGTTTATTGATATTTTATTATTTTTATTTACATGGGATATTCAAGTATATTGTATAACAATAAATATTGGCAGCTTACATTTCAAGTTGAAATCAGTTACATTATTTAAAATACTTTTAGAAATGAAAATGGATTATATAATGAAAATATTTTATTGACAAGAAACTAGAATTTACTTAAAGCTGGAAGTGATATTAGAAAAGAAAAGAAAGAAAACAATTTTACAAAGATAAAAAAAACAAAACTGAATCCATTATTCAGGGAACAGAACAAACACCTAATTAAGTTCTGGATCATGATCCATTTTAAAGATGCCACACATACTAACTAATAAGAATAAATATGAATGTAAATGATAAACAAATATTTAACAAAATTAAATTCAACTGATGAGTCTGTAAAAACTAACAACATTGGTATGAACACGAGAATATTTCTGAACAGACCAAAAGGAAACAAAAGAGCTAATTTACTTTATTATATATTTTACTATTTTATTTTTTTTTTTTTTATTTTATTTCATTTTATTTATTGGATACAGATTATTATTTATAAACATTAATTTTGAAACTTTACATCATTGGAATCAGTATATATAATTTTTAATTTTCTGAATTTTTAGACTTTCGTTTTGAGTGGGATGGTTGGAACACAAAACATTTTGTGGAAAATCATTTAGAGAATTATAGTGTTTGTGAATTTGGTAGCTTAGTAACTAGGCATGTACATAGTAACTGTGAGTTCAGAACCCTGGGCAAGGTATCACAGACTCAGTAGAGAGAGAGAGAGAGAGTAAAAAAACAAGTAATATTTATTAAAAAAAAAAAAAAAAAAAAAAAAAAAAAAAAAGAGATAACAGAAGGAGATATCACTAGACATGAACATCAGAAAGAGAATGATTCCCCCCACCATCGGTTAAATAAAATGTAGAAGAAAAAGAAAAAATATCAATATTTCATAATATCAATATAGTGTAAAATGGATCCCTGACTTTTTACATAGTTATCTGGGCTTAGGTATTCTATATATGAAAACACTTTCATCTTTTTTGTTACAAAAATATTTTTTAAGTAAAGAACAAACGGATATATACATTTTTAATTTAAGAACAAAAATTTACCTAAATTAATAAAAGTACATACCTGTTTATTCTTCATTTAAGACAAATAATTATTAGCCCCCAATGTTTGCAAATGTACTTGTGAAAAAAAAAAAAAAAAAAAAAAAATGATACGCCCCCCGCAAAAAAAACAAAAGCTAAAATATTCAGAAAAGAATTTATTGTTGACTTTTTATTTTTGTGGTTTTTAATTCTAACATTCCATTTGTTTTTACATTTTACAACTAAAAAGCAAGCAGCTTCAATTGAAAATGAAGAAGTTTGATAAAATTAGATAAAAATTAATAATGAACAATCTAATTCAAACAACTATCATACATTTTGTTATCCCAAGGGGGATAACTCAAAATCTGTCTGTCACAAATTATTGAATTAAACTTTTTCTCTTTACACTGCTTAAAACTATCATCTCGTCCAGTGGTTTCAAAACTTTTAGAAGTTGTATTTTTATTTTTTTTTTAAATTTAATCTTTTTGTGACATACTAAAAAAAAAAAAAAAAGTATACTTATGTGATATCTTTTTAAAAAACGTAACCTTTTGTGACATACTTTTTTTTTAAAAACCGTAATAATTGTGAAATTTTTTTTTAAAAATTTAATTTTTTTGTGAAAAAAAAAAAAAAAAAAAAAAATGTAATTTTTTTGTGACATTTTTAAAATATGAAATTTTTGTGACATGTTTTTTTAAAAATATAATTATTTGACATTTTTTAATGTATTTTTCTTATGACACATTACTCAAATTTTGCTACTCGAGTCAAATAGAAAATTCAAAATGTACATAAAAAGAAATAATTCAATCAAATATTTTGTTAATAATTAAAGAATGAATCACAAAAGTATGTAAAACACCTGTTTGGAACCGTCTAATTTAGAGTAAACTTGTTCAAATACTGACTTAAGATTATATAAGGCATGTGCAAAGGTTGCTCTCTTTAATCTCCCTTTTGAAAATAAAGGTTATCGTGTTCGTGTTGGATAAGGCTAAGCTTTTTGCTATGAAATTTGCTTCTAAATCAACCTTAGACCATCTACCTGACTTTCTCCCTCGCATGAAGCACAAACATCATACCTCTATTTCGGCACAAGAAGTATCTAGACTTATCAAAAGCCTTGGCTCTACAAATGCTACATGTCCGTCGCCTCTGTCTTTTTTACAAATACTTTCATGTTAATTGCTCCGATGAGCTGCTTTCGCTGGCTCACAGATTTCATGAATTCAAGCGTCCTATGAGGCTGGCATCCTGCTCTCACTCTTTCACTGTTGAAACTGTTAAATGTGGCCGTCTCTTCTACTCCAATAGCTTCATATCTCGTACCTCTCGCCTGTGGAACTCCCTTCCCTTTTACTGTTTCCCTGATAGCTATTATCTCCAACTTTTCAAATGTAATGTCAATTGACATCTCCAGTTGCCTTGATCTATCCACTATCCTTCTCCTCATCCTTTCCTCTATCACTCCTATCTGCTCTCACTCCAAATCCTCTGTAGCCCCTTGTGTGCCAGTGGCTTCCTGCCTTGCTTAAAAAAAAAAAAAATTCTACTGGAGGAGAAATGTTTCCCAAGTCTACGAAAGACGTCAGCTGTATTCCCTGCCTTCAAGAATGTCAAGGGGAGTTCTTATCCCTGTTTTAATATCGACCCATGAATAAACTCTTTGAAAAAATATAAGAAATTTATATGTGTGTGTGTGTGTGTGTGTGTGTGTGTGTTTTGAACAATAAAAAATATTGACAAATTAAAATTTTCAGGCACACTGGGTTGTATATTAATATTTTTTGGTTTTATTATTTCAAGTTGATTCCTTGACTAGTTTTGGCCAGCATGGCTATCATCAAGAGAAAAAAAAATTCTGCTTGTTAGTAGCAGTGAACTACAGAAATTAATGACTTTCTGAAGAAAAAGAACTTTATCTCTAGTTTTCATTTGTTTTTTTATTATTAATTTTGGTAAGTCCTTGTGTTGGTAAAACAGTTTTATTGGTTCCTGGGAAGGGGATGTGTACATGTTAAGTGTATATTATCATTTAGTTCTTCCGGAGTGTGTATGATGTGTATAAGTGTATATATTAGTATGTGTGTGTGTGTGAGACCTGAACACCCCTGGAAGCATGTCTGTCTTGTGTGGGTGATAAATGTGGATAGGGCTTGATTTATGAGGTTATATATAAGAATAATTAGGAAAAAAGCTTAAAAATCCATAGTCAGTAATAAATTTATTATGATGGATATAAGCATATTCATCTCATCAGACCAACTACATTTTATGAAATGTGCTCAAGATTTCCCAGATAGTCTGTATTACCTATGATAGATTTTTAAGTTTTTTTTTTACTAATTATTCTTAGAATTTACTTTGTATCATATGTTGAGCTCTCATATGGACTGAAAAGTCCTCTTTGGAATAATCTCTACCAATTACATTTTGGTATTTTATATATATATATATATATACAGCTTTTAATTTTTAAAAGCGATTTGTAAGTTAATACGCCTTTAAAATTTTGTTTGCGAAGGGATTTCGCCATTTTATATCATTAACTTTACTAATCTACATTTTGTATGAATGAGTCATTGTAATATATATATATATATATATATATATATAAAATACTTACCTTTGATATTGTGTAAATGGAATGTGTTTTCCAGAATATTCATCATTTTTTTCTGGCCACTGCGACTTGTCAGGTTAACAAATAGCATTGCATCAAGTACAGCATGAACAGATTTAATTTTTTGCAGTCGTTTGTGCAAATGATCAGCATGGATTAATGCTGCAAGGCCACCAGCTGCAAAGTAAAACAAAAAATGAGAAATAAAATGAACATTTTATCACAAAAGAAATAGTATTATTTTAATACATTTTTAGAGAAAGCAACATTGGTTTTATCACTTCGGATTCTCCTTGGAAAAAAAACACGGTGAAACATTGTTCATTCTTGTATGAAATTGTCTTTTTCTAATCATATGCTGTTAAAACTTGTCAGATGGTTGGTGATTAAACCGGCTCATTCACCCCACTTCATTGGGTGCAAGAAGGGTGTTTAGCAAACCCTGTAGGATGAAAAATAAGATCTATGAAATGAACTCTTGATGCATCAGCAGCCAACCAACTAGAGACAGTGTTTCGATAAAAATACTGTGAAAAAGGCAATGTGAAACCAATGAAATCAAAAAGCACATTGGACTAATAAAAGATGCCTTCCAAAAACTAAATGTATTAAAAGAAACTGGAAAATATTCATTAGAAACAAAGCAAGTGTTGAATTGCTATGCAATGTCAGTCCTCCCATAGGGTAGTAAATGTCGGACAATCTCCTTATAGGTGAAGAGAAACATGGAGTCAACAGAAATGTGGTTTGACAGGCTACTCAGAATACCATGGAATGAATATTTGAGCAATAAGGAAGTTTCAAGGAAAATGGAAACAAAAGATAATCTTACTTATTATAAAACGCAGATTGTGTGTGTGTGTCTGTAACGTTTATATATTGGATCGGATTTCATACATTTTTCAACAGATTTCAACAAAACTTCACAGGACTACATAGAATTACCTTGTGGTGGTTCTAACAGTGCAAAAAATGGGAAAAATATAATTGTTTTTGCACAAAATCAATTTGAAAACACAATTAAGAGACATCATGAAAATGGAAGGGAGACAACTCACATCGGGTTGTTTGTGTGTGTGTGGGTTCCTTTAAATATGGGAGCGGATTTCCTATATTTTTCAGCCGATAAAACAAAACTTCACTTTTTTTTTTTGGCAGGTAGTGTTTCTTATTCTCTTGCACACTTTTTTCTTTATTTTTAACATTCAGAATGCTTTAAAAATTCCATTTACAAGACAATTGTTTATAATAAAATTCTATGCAATCAGTAGACTCATAACGATTGAAAACAATGTTTTTGTTTGGCTTTGACCAATTCGTAAAAAAAAAAAAAAAAAAAAAAAAAAAAAACTAATTAAGACACGCGTGTCCGTCAACCGTAAACAATAATCTTTGTCAATTTTATTTTTCAGTCTTTATGATGGTGGATACTTGATCTATCTCTTACAGTTATATCCCCGGGCAACGCCGGGCTCTACTGCTAGTTATATATAAAATTAGAAATAGAGAGTTGAAATTTCTGGGAGACATAAGAAAAGAAAGCCTGGAAAATTTGACACTCACAGGACATATTAAAGGCAAAAGGGACAAAGGTGAAACGGCAAGAAATAATGAGTTTGCATAAATGAATGGCAAAACAGAGAAGGAGAGTGATAGTAAAAAGACAAAACATTATTAAGAGCTACAAAGGGTAGGATGTTGTGGAGAGACATGATCAACCTACATAACAAGCTTGTGTAAATGATGTCAGAACAGAGATTGGGAAGGATAGTAAAAAGAGAAACATTGCTTAGAGCTATAAAGGATAGGAAGTTGTCGAGAGCCATGATCGCCCATTGTTGTTAAGCAAGTGTACCTGACATGTTGTTTCCAGCCTGCTCCCTCTGCCATGTCTACTTTTCCAAGACACACTACACATGAATAAAATACTTCTCCAGCTGTTAACCCAGATATTTTGATCATGTGCTCAACTGTGCAGTGACCCTATGACCACAACCAGTCATGGAACCAATGATGATAGTAAATAAGAAGAAAATGCTTATTGGTTGCATGCTATGATCAAAGCCACATCAGCTTGGTGTGTACTTAGTTGGTCATCATGTGATTATACAATAAACATTATAAAGTTTTCAACAGCAGCCAATTTCATGGTTTGGAATATATAGATAGATAGAGAGAGAGATTAACATTTTTTTTTTCTTTTAAGTCACCTGACCACTTTTGGTAGTGTAAGCTGCAGTAGCTCAAGCCTTCTGCACTGAAGTACTGGCTACTTGAAAGCCAAGGAAGAAGGATCTGAATGTGAATTGTGAAAACTCCCTGGTCGTCACCTTTTTTTAAATTTTTTTTTTTATCATGCATTCTCCAGCCAAATTCACATCAACACATGACCTGTGTTTCTCTTATAATCAGTAATATTAATGTAGCTGATTGAGACAGACGTACTTCAACCACACTTATCCATAACCTGCACTGGTCAAGCCATGTTGCTGAATATATGACATTATTTATATTACAATGAATTATAATTATCTTACATTTGACTACATTGCATAGAATCATTATAAGTTATTAAATCATTTCAAAAGCTTGTGACCAATAAGAAAATCAAAAATGAAGTTTTGCATACTCACAACAAAACATTTATTAGTCAAGTAAATAGTCTCCATTGTTTTTATCAATTGTCTCCTTAGCTTAGGTGATCATATATCTTTCAATACATGAATCCTTTTCTTCTCCCACCCATATCGGGGGGGGGGGGGAGAAGAAGAGGATTCAAACTTTTCTCATGTAAGTGAATGTATGTCAAAGGAATAATTTTTTAATCTTGAAACAATGATGCATTTGTAGATCCTGATTATTGAACATTGTAATTTCTTCCCTTTTTAATGTGAATTTATGAAATATGATTTAACTTGTATTTTCTCAGTTCAGCGGTAGTAATTAATCTCACATATCATATTCTGACCCTCCCCTTACTGCTTGGGCACTTATATAATCTTTATGCCTTCAGTTAGTTATGTGCCATGCATGAGACATAGTTAGGTGATCATTTATCTTTTGATACATGACTGACGAGGTAGATTCCCTCCTCCCCCCACAGTAGGTTGCCATTTCTTTCTGCAGTAGACCATCCAAGGCTATAGAAGCCAGTCTGTCCTGCTATTTACTCATAGCTGGAGGGAAAAGAGGAGGATTCATATATTTCCCAAGGGTATTAGCATGTAAGTGAATGTAATGGATTTGATTGGAATTCAAACTTGGCTCTCAGAGTCCTCAATCAGAGCCACTATCCATTACTCCACCGTGCCTCCTGCACAGTACAGAGTCAAATTTTTTGTCATTTAAATTGTTCTGTAGAGACCAGAACAAATTAAAATCCAAAGGAGCCAAATCAGGGGAATATGGTGGGTGGTGCTGGAAGGTGGGGTCCCATTTCAACTCTTCAAGCTTTTGCTAGGTCCATTTTGCAACATGTGGACTTGCATTATCATGGTGGAAAATGACATCTTTGATTTTTTTTTTGAATCCAAGTCTCTTCAAATGGTGAAAGGCAGTTTGAATATCGATTTACAAACTCTTAGCAACCTCTTCCAATGAAATCTTCATAGCAAAAAAAAAAAGCTTTAAACTTTGTTTCTATCCTTTGCAATAATGTATTCAGATAACTGAGATGGCTGCCCAACTAAACATATTCCAAGTCCAAACTCAAAGATCCAGGGACAGAAAGAAATGTCGAAATCATGAATTGCTGGTCACAAATCCCAATTCATATAAACAATCAGCAATCAAAACGTAAGCTGACGGATGAAGCAGAAAAGATCAAAATGACTTTCCCCAATATGAGAACACCAACCACTTTTGATGGAACAATCTTTTCAACAGGAGGGAGAGAAAACACAGTATTAGCACATCTGAGATGCATTTATGGCAACACCTGCGACTGACTTGTTTCAGTTTTGCTTGTTTTCGGCATATCATACAGAACACGTGCCCCTTTTCTCGGTAAGTGACTCTTTTACCACAATCTTAAGTTTATCCTCCACAATGAAAAACATACTTTATTTATTATAGACAAAAAATATATTAAAATAATTGTCGGGCTTAATCCATTTCATAATGTTATCATTGTTTACGTTAAGATATATTTTGTGAGCAGAAATGATCGATCGAGAAAAAGTCGAAGGTATGTGTTTACAAAAATCAGTAATTGGACTTTGCTAAACAAGACGCGTCCCCTGTGGCTGAATGGTAATATCACGTCAAAGGTATATGACAGTTCCTATATATATATATATATATATATATATATATATATATATATATATATATATATATATATATATATATATATTTTCATTATAAGAGATTATAATAAAACATTATTTTATTATAAGAGATTATATTAAAATCATTTTCATAATCTCTTATAATAAAAATATAATAATAATATATTGGTGTATTTTGTATTGAGCAATTTTTAAAAAGTAAATGCTGCGAATAGTGGAATTTTACACCACCTGTTCTTTCTCTCATTTATATATATATATATTGACCTCAGAAGGTTGCCTGGAGTGTGGTTGATCCGTTAAGTTAAAATCACCTGGAGAAAATCTGGCAAACTACTTTTTGAACATCTCAACAGCTGAGAACAATCCCAAATAAACCTTCTGAATTATCTTTTGTTGCAGTTCTGATCCTTAATCCTTTTCAAAATTCATAGAGCATAATATGGCAAAAGTACAACTTTTCATCCTTCATCTTTAAGGCATTCATTGGGGGGGGGGTGACTTCAGCAAAGTCTGACTTGCAACTGACTGATGTAAGGTTTCAATCTAGAAGACACCAGAAATTGGCACCTAAACAAACACCAGTGTCAGTATGCATGCAGCTATTTTATATTAACATTGAAAATCGAGCATAAACTTTTGCAATCATTTGATATACATCATTGATTTCTTTAAAGCACTAATTTATGATTGTATAAACAATTAAAAATAAATAGATAAAAAGTAGTCATCTGCACATTAAAAAATTGTACATTTTAAAAAGACTCCAGAAGGAACTAGTAACCTGCAAACATTTTGTATAGATATATATTTACCTGATGATCCACTTAAGATGACTTTCTTTGCTGAGCCAAGATCTGCTTGAGTGAGCAGGAAATCTATAATGCCATCAAATATGGCTGCACCTCGAAATAAATTTTTCTTGATTTATATTTGATAGCCTGAGAGCGATTTCCTATTGAAAAAAAAAAAAAAAAAAAAAGAGAAGGAAATCACATTCAAATGTTCATAGAATAAAAGAATTCAGTAACAAAAATATTTATTTCAATTCAAAAGTCATTACATTAAATTTTTTAAAATTTCATTATTGTAATAATAAAAAGATTCTTGTAAGTATCAGCTCTCCAAAGAGGAAACACTAGTAAAAGTGAGCAAAGAAAAGAAAAAAAAAAAAATCTATAGAATGCAAAAGCGTCATTTGTTGCAACTTTCTTTTTGGTTTTTGTTTGAATAGAGATTGAAATAACTAAGTGAAATTTTGTTTCTAAAATTTAATAAAATACAATTGGACTTTAAGGAATTTAAGTCAGGATTCAAGATAAAAAAATTTTGCACACTTATACAATATAAATTATTGCATGAGCAATCTTTTATGTTGATTCCAACTGCACCTGCCTAAAGCTAAGTTCTTCAGTTGGAGGAAAAATGCCGGATTTGTAATATCAAATAGAATGTTTGCAAAGTCGGCTTTGTATGGCTGGAGACATTATTCAAAGACTTTTTATTCACTGGTATTTCTTAAGGCAATGAATTACATGTCCTATTAAGGTGAATTTTCTTTCGTCGATTTTACTTTAATTTTGTTTTATAGCATACAGCAAAGAAATAAAAATAATTGAAATACAAGGGAGGTAACTTTGAATAAAATAAAACGTGAATTACTTCCCTTTACTAGATTGTATATATATAAAAAAAAATGTTTCAAAACAGCAAAAACTATTTTGTGACTTCATTTTAAAGCATTAACCAATTTATTAACACGTTTATGATGTTACTGCACATTCCTGAAAATCATAAAATCAACCTAGGTTGATAAGGATTGAAAGAAGGATAAGCAAAGAATAATTAATAATTTAATTGTGCTCACTAGTACACAATCCCACCAACAGATGGACAGCATAGCTTCAGCAAGAAGCTAAGCATTCGATGCACGCACAAGGGCTCATAAAAAAAAAATCTTGGGATAAAATATATTATGCAACATTAGGACAGTTTTTATTTCTACCAACAAGATACAACGCTTATAGATAAATGGGTGACCACTTGGGAATACCAGATGCTGTAAGCATGGATGTGCAGTGGTGCAATCGATGATGACTTAGAATTGGAAGTTGGAGAGCCGAGTTCAAATTCCAGTCAGGTTTGTTATATTCATTTATGTGCAAATACCTCTGGGAAATGTATGAATACAACTCTTCTTCCCCCAGATATAGGTTAAAGGGTAGGACTTGTATCAGAAAACCATTATATCTAAAAGATTCTTACAATCCAAAAATATTTCCTGGCTTTAAATAATCTGTAAAAGGTTGATAAGCCATGAAAAAAAAAATAAATAAATAAAATAAAAAAGACACAAATCAATCAGTGTTGACAGATCTCTAATAATAAGATTAGAGAAGACATTCTGCAAAAATATAATAACTTTGTAGAAAATTATATATCTGTTTCCCCACTTTACCATACATGGACCCTAACATGGCCTAGGGTTAGGATTTGAGGGTTTATTGTTTATCTTGAGGCTACATAGAGTTTTGCATCATCCTCTGCATTCTCTAGACTTTTTCTTTATTCATGTCTTCATATGCATTGAAGTATTTTTTAATATGGTCTCATGATCTTACAGAAAAAAAATTTAAAAGATCTTTAAAGAATTTGGTTACCAGAAGTTTTGATTTTATGCTAGGGACATAAGTGACTACAACAGAAATACACCGTTGTCAGTCATGAATAAAATGAATTGCGGAATTTTATATTTTACTCTTTATCTAATCATAATTTGTAAATAATATTTTTTAGCAAAGATCGATGATAATCTATTTAGCGATGTTCATCTTAAAAGTCAACTTTTTTTAAATGAGAAAGTAAGAGTAATTTCAAATCTTTATCAGATTTAGCTACCAAACTATTATAGTATTTAGATTTGTGAAAAAAACCTCAGAGAAATGTCAAGAGAGAAATGAAAATTAAAATGGAAAAAGTAAAAAAAAAAAAAAAAAAATAAATGGAAAAAGTAAAAAAAAAAAAAAAATGGATAAAAAATGAAAAAAAAAAAAAAAAAAAAAATGAAAAAAAACGGAAAAGAAAAAAGAAACGAACAAAAAAATTAGAAACGAACAAAAAAAATAGAAACGAACAAAAAAAAATTAGAAACGAACAAAAAAAAATTAGAAACGAACAAAAAAAAATTAGAAACGAACAAAAAAAAATTAGAAACGAACAAAAAAAAATTAGAAACGAACAAAAAAAAATTAGAAACGAACAAAAAAAAATTAGAAACGAACGAAAAAAAATTAGAAACGAAAAAAAATTAGAAACGAAAAAAAAAATAGAAACGAAAAAAAAAATAGAAACGGAAAACAAAATAGAAATTGTTACATTAACCCCATATTTGTATATGTAAAGTATATGTAAAGCTTTAGCATTGGAATTATATTTTTAAAGGAAATATATTAATGACTCATTTAGGAGAAAACAATTATTTTGTTATACACAAGACAGCCCTTGAGTCACGGTCTGCAAAATTGTGGAGGGAAGAAAGGATAAATAAGAGAGAACTCTTACCAAGAAAAGAACCACCATCACAGTAAAGAAAGCGCACCATGTTCCAATCATGGAAATCTGGATTTATCATGTCATCACTTGACATAAAACCTTCAAAACTTGCTGACACTGGTGCCTTCAGACTTGAACCAAGATCAGTGAAACTTCTTCAAAATAAAAAAAAATTAAAAAAATAAAATAAAAATTAATAAAAAATATCATTGGGTTAATGCCAAAATTCTAATAGTTTTTATTATGAAATCTTTTGTTCATATATTCTTTTCTCTTGAACTAAAGTTCACCCAACATAAGGCTTGAGAGCCACTCAAATTAAATGTTTACAAAATGATAATGCTAAATGAGGCGAGTGATATGAATGTAAAAAAGAAATGGAGATTATGAGAATAAGAAGTAAAGATGAGAATTGACTCTTAACTTGAAAAAGTCAAGACTGAAACATTCTGGGAAGCACCTACATGGAAGTTTGTTCCTCAAAGTGGCAGTTGTTGAAGAAAAAGCTGTGCAAGGGGGATTTTCTTCTTACATTTAGAACATAGGGGAAATGAGGATGGTTTGACTTTGTGAAATGGCATGGGGTGCCCTAACTGTAAAAAAGGAGTCAACTGTAGTCAGGATCATCGAGTCAATGCAAATAATCCTTTCTTTATCTGCATAGTCTATGCTTTGTCAGGGCTACATAAAGTTTTGAACTCAGAGTTTTACTTCTCCTAGACCAGTTGCCATCCAAGGCTATAGAACCCAATCAATCCTACTATTTACCCAGAGCTGGTGGGAGAAGAGTTGGATTTTTACATTTTCCAAGGGTATTAGCATGTAAGTAAATGTAATGAACTCAACTGGAATTTGAACATGGATCTCAGATTCCTCAATTTGAGCTGCAATCCACTACTCTGCTGTGCCTCCTTTTCATTCATTATTGAAAACATTAGAATTTCTTAAGTATGTAATAAAATAAAAGAAACATGGGCACTACATAATTGACTGCTCTACTCATAAAAAAAAAAATCATTTTTTTCTGTTGGGGAGGGGTGGTATAATAATTAATTAGACATTCAAAACCACATTTGTCAAAATAGAAAAATAGTGATTTTTTTTTTTATCATTTTAAAAGAGAACAGGGTCCCATTCTTAATATAAATACTATGTTAATTTGATCCCTGACTTAGTAAACGGTTATCGGTACTTTGTTTTTATTTACAAATGTCAAGTTTGAAACTGTTTACATCATTGATAACAGTGTACTACTGATATCCTTTATTATCAATTATGTAAGCATAGTTTCATTTGTAAATAAAAGCAAAGTACAGATAACTCTTTAAAATATCATGGGTTGATTTGACACTGTATTTAGATTATGAACAGCAACTTTCCCCTGCTTTAAAAGTGATAAAGAAATATCTATATTTTTTGATTCTGGCAAATGACTTGGCTTAAAGAATGTCTAATGAATGCTATTTTTACAAGCAGATTAGCCAATTTAAGCAGCTACAAAACAGGTTTTGAACTGAATCAAATATGCAACATGAAATTCCACTAAAATTTGATGTATTAGGTTGTCCCACATGAAATGTCATTTCTTTTTTTTTTTTGCCAAATTTTTACTAAATTTACAAACGTTTATTGCCATAAGTTATTATGTTTGCATTTACTAATCTGTTTGCCATTTTGTTTTCAGGTTGATGGTTCTACAAAAAACCTAATTCGTAACCTCCAGAAAATGATAACAATTAAACAATGTCGACTGCTCATATTATAAGAGGTCAACTTAGGCCATAAAATATTGATGAAACATCAGCTTGGAATTTGGCATTAACCTTGTTAATGTCAGAACTATACAGAATTGGTTTCAGAAATTCCATTCAGGAGGTGAGAACTTTGAAAAGAAACCAAGAGGAAGAACTAATTCAGTCATAAAAGTAATCAGTTGAATAACCAGACAAAATCTGAAAACAACAGTTAATACTTCAATGAAATGAATTGTATGCATGAAAGATTAAAAAAAGAAACAGCCTAGACTAGTGAATACAGATGACCTGCTTCTGATCCATGACAACGCACGCACTCAAAGATCACAGTCCATCGCTCAAAAGATGCATAGCCTTGGTTATGAGATTTCGGAGCATCCACTTTATTAACTAGACATCTCTCCCAAAGATTAACACTATTTTTTTTTTAAAACACTTTCAGCTTTCCATATGCAATAGAAGATTCTCTAATAGGGAAGAAGTAGTTGAAGCATTTGAACACTTAAGACAAAAAGTGAAGAATTTTTAAAACCGGGGTAAACAGTTAAAACCATAAAACAATATGGACATTATTTTAATTAAATAAGAGTTGTTGGTTATATTTTATTTGTCATACCTAAAAGTTTAATATGGGAGCATCCAACAATTTTTTTTTCTTAATATACTCTGTTGAAATGTGGCTGAGAGTCGTAAGTGATATTAGCATTAAAAAGTTAATTCTTGAACAAAATCCTTTTTTAGTTTAATACCTTTTATAACATTCCTCTTGAGTTGAGCACCAGGCTCCTCCTTGGAGATGTAGAATCCAAAATTTACGAGAAGATCCTCGACCTAAAATAAGACAAATAAAAAAAAAAATAAAATTTTTAAACATTTTGAGAAAACAATTCACAAGGCTATGTTTTATTATTGTCATTGTGGATATGATTTGTACTTTTTTTCCTTTTATTATTTTTTTTTTAAAAACTTTCTAGTCACATTAATTCATGCACAATATGATTCTATGTGAAACCCCCCACCCACCCCGCAATTTTTACAGGTAAAAAACAAAAAACACATTTTCATGTAGAAGCTAATTCCAACTTTATTATCTATGACTTGCACAGTGTATATTTTTGTTAAGATGTTTTTAGTAACGAGTATAAATCACTTTACATAAATATCTTTGGCAGCATAACTCGTTAAAGCCTATCATAAAACCTAGAATTATAAAAATCAAAGTAAAACTGACAAATAATGTGGCTTGAAGAAAGGCTATTGAATGCTAATCTACAAAAATTATTCATGCCCCAGCCTGCAAAAATTTATCCCTATTTTTTTTTTTTTTTTTTACAAGCAGACAAGTCACTTTAAGTAGTGCCTTTAAGTATAAGACAATAGGAATGTATGTGTTAGTCAACAAGGAATTTAGTTTTGCAAGAACGACCAAACATTTACATAAATTAATAAAAGCATATATCTGCTTATTATTTAATAATAAATAAAAAATAATGAATAATAACTGAAACGTAAAAGTGAATTTATTTCCAAAATTATATATATATATATATATATATATATATATATATAAAAAGAAGTTAAAAACGAAAAGGTTAAAAGATCAGAAAATAAAAAAAAGTGACGATTTCAATTATGTTACATTTTCGAACTTGACATTTGTAAATACAGCTAAAACCAATTACTCAGCAACCGATTTTACAAGCGGACAAGTCACTTTAAGTAGTGCCCTTAAGTATAAGACAATAGGAATGTATTTGTGTTGGTCGACAAGGAATTAAGTAGTTTTGCAAGAACTTACCCTGTCGGATATAATATCCTGCAGGTGAACCATCTAAGCACAAAGCTCCTCTTTTTTGAGCAAATTCTTCAGGAAGCACAACCAATTCGCCATCAGTGTCACTATCGGCATGGAAACTGACAAAAGTATTTCGTACATTTGACAACATTCGGATGATAAGTACCATCAGAACTAGAAAGACAGCACACACCAGTTGAATATAACATCGACGCAAGGTGAATGTTGGCATCAGAAGGTGTGGACGCTGGATTGATACTTTGGCTGGGACAAACATCATACATGACTGGGGAGGCTGATGGAAATGAGGGAGAGAATGCTGGGAAGTGCTGGATTTGTGATGACCACTGTCTGGCAGAGATTGCATAGCTGGAAAAAAAGAATACATGTGTATCAATTACTGCTATGAAGAAGAAATTAAAATAAAATAAAATTTAAAAAAAAAAGAAAAAGAAAAAGTAATTCCATTTTTTGTTTTTACAATGTGGTTCACCCTGTAAAAGGCCCAGAGGCCACTTGAGGCAGAGGTTTACAGAGTAAGAAGCACAGTTTATGCAGATAGGTGAGGAAAATAATGGTTAACACTAGACTTGAACAGGTTAAGATTGTAGTGATCAAGGAAGCATCCTCTTGGGAGTTGGTTCCACAGAGCAATAGTTCACAGGAACAATCCTTACAAGATGGTTCTGGGTGAGTTTAGTAAATACAACCTCTATCCAATAATAGTTGGTACATTTGCATACACATTTCATGCACTAAAAGTTACAATTATTATGGGACAGAAGTAATATCTTTTCTAATGCTTAAAGGCTGAACAGACATTCCCAGAAACAATAAAATTAAATAACCACTATCACATGAAAAAAAATCATTACCAAGTGCATTCATACTGCGAGCTATTTGTCATGATATTGAGATTGGCAGGAGGAAGAGAAGAGCTGGTCTGTTAGACTGACATGTCAGAAGTCATTCTCAGTGTGACCTATCTACCTACACAGACTGAGCAAGCAAAGCCCTGTATTAAACACCTAAATATATTGGAAACAGAATTTGAGTTTTCATTTCTTCATGCAGAATTTATTTTGACTTTTCATTTCCATTTGAACATGTAGCAGGCTTTTACAAGTTTTTGGTGCACACTGGCATGAAAGGGGAAAAAAAAAGGGAATGTCGATAGTCATTAGTTGGTGGGCAGAAAGGGTCCCATTGTATGCTTAGAATATATTGTTAAAATTTTCCGTTTTCGACCACCTTGCAATATAGTAACACTCTTACCAATGCACTGTTTTTTCATGAGTTTTAGATGATGCAGCAATTTGGTATGGTCAAAGAGCCCAGCGCATGAAGTTTTCATGCCATGGAGACACACGTGCTTTTTTTTTTGTTCAGTTAGAGCCTCTTGAGACAGCGTTACATTGTAAACCTTTGTAGAGGCTGAATGGTCATTCCAGAGTATTGCTGCATGTGTTTTTTTTTCTCATTTAACTCCAAGCAAGGCAATAAACCCACTAAGATGTAAGGGGTTACTGAGTGTTAGAGAATATGAGAAGAATATACTATTAAGTAGAGAGAACAATAAAAGAACAAGAATTAAGATAACAATTGATATTGCATTTAAATTTTTAAAGATCAAAGTTGACCAGGAAACTAGAAGCCAGTTCCATAAATGAGAAGTGCCTTAAACTTACAGTTACAGCTAGCCATTTCAACTGTAAAAATGAAGAGACCTTGCCACCAATCTCGTATTGCACTTAAATTCATAAAGTCTGGGTACCACAGGAGGCATGGTGTAGTAATGGATAGTGGCTCGGATTGAGGAACTGGAGAGCTGAGTTCAAGTTCCAGTTGGATCCATTACATTCACTTATGTGCTAATACCCTTGGGAAAGGTATGAATCCTCTTCTCTCACCAGCTATGGGTAAATAGCAGGATACGGGGTTCTATATCCTTGGTTAGCAACCTGTCTAAGAGAAGGAAAACTCTGAATTCAAACAAGCTCCATCAATCTATCTTGCCCAAGACACACAACTTCTATTGTGGCTGTAGTATATGTGGTGCCTCTATGACTTGGGGCTCCCTTCTCATTAGTTAACCTACTCAGAGAGTAAAAAAAAAACAAAAAAAAAAACAGAAGTTCAGAAAATTACCATAAAAGTATTTATTGAAAAGGCAGAGTGAAGCTACATTATGGCAGTGGGAAAGTGACTGGAGACCAGTAATATTGCAGATTCTTTGGATTTTATCAAGAATCTCTAAATACATAGCAAAAGTAGCAGGCCAAGTGTGTCATCAATATTCAAAGCAAGGATCATTAGTCAACTTATATTTAAGATAGATTCTGGCAAGAAAAATTGTCTAGTTTGACACAGTGAGCCAGCCTTCCTAGCGTCAGACTTAATAACTGATTCAATATACTCTTTTCACTTCATGTCAGCAGAAAATGTTAGTTCAAAAAAGTCACACTCCTGGAGGTTAGCATCAGCCAATGCTGATGGAAGGTAAAAATGGTTCTCTCAGACAATTAAAAGAGAGGGGTTTTGTTTTGGAGGCATTAAAAGTAACATGTTGAATGTCATACTTTGATGTTTGCAGATCTTTACAGCTATGAGCCATCATGTACATATGAAGAGAATGAGTGATTCAACCCTATTTCATTTATCGGAAAGCAGTTCCACTCAAACATCAAGAATTGTTACTTTGTGGAACAGACGCCCACTTTGATGCTTCCCTGAACACTAACACTTCAAATCCAAGGTCAATCCTTATCTATCCTCCATATGTTTAGAATCTTCACTTCTTACTTTCTACTCTTATATCTCTGGTGCTCACCTCATTCAGTAATCCCCTGCCTTTAGTGGCTCTTGAGTAAACATTAGTAAAAAAAAAAAAAAAAAATTATTATGGTCACATAAACGTTCTTACATTTATTTATAGACCAAGTCCAGGATAGGCATGTCATACATACAGTACATTGACAGAGCAATAGTGACAGATTGTAAGGTGTGCATAGATTTGAGCAAATGTCCACTTCCCATCCATGCACACATTTTTTATATATATATATATATATATATATATATATAAATAAATATTTGGGAACCGTCTGTAATGACTAATTTATCATCTTAACTACTAATCATATGTGACAGTTAAATGGTGTACATGAACATATAATACATAGATAGATAAGATTGAGTCATAAGTAATTTCTGTTTTAGGGAATCAATTGTAGTGATGAATGTATGATTCTAACTACTAATCATACGTGGCAGTTAAGAATAAATTTGGAATACATTAATATACCTTAATTTTTGCATAATCATGGCAGCATACATAGTAGATTAAAGAAAACATGTTGCTCTTCTTTGTGACAATGCAAGACCACATACAGCAAAAATAATATAGGAAAAAAATTAAAAACTCAGTTGCTCTGTTCTAACCTGTCTGTTATATTCACCAATTGATAATTACTTTTCAATTGTTGCAAAACTCTTTGACGAAGAAAACTTTTCTCTAATGAAAACCAGATTCAAGAGTTCAAGAACTTTTTCATATCGAAACATACAGAATTTTACTCAAAAATTTTCAAAGAGCTACCTGATAAGTCACTGAAAATAATAGCGAATATATAACTGAATAAAATGTAATTGTGTTTTATTTTTTGAAGTTTAAATTTGACCAAAAAAAGAAAATATTTATGATTTTACCTTATATACATATACATCTATATAATATATGTGAATGTCACTGTGCCACATTTTTCAACTTTACTCCTAGAGGCTGTAGCCCAACATATACCATTTTGGAATCCGGCAAACTTTGTGAGCAAATTAAAAACATCCCATTTTTTAATTGTTTGTGAAGAAAGTAAGGACTTACATACATCAAATTGTCTTTAAATAAAGTGGCATCAAAAGAATTATCATTGAACTTTTAAAAGGTAAGCTTAAATATTAATGCAATACTTAAATGCAGCAATCAGTTATGAGTTTTCCTGCCGTTTATTGTTGCCTATCACATCTACTCCTCCATACCTATTGTGATAAAGGCCCAATCAAGAGCCCCCCACAGGAACTAGCTTAAATCCCACCTGATAGGGCAGATTTTAAGCTAGTGTATTTATATATATATATATATATATATATATATATATATATATATAAATATATATATATAAAAATGAAACGTGCCTTTAAGCAAAATCCTTCTCGTCATAAATTCCTTGGAATTTTCATATCTGTTCAGTTTTGTAGCCAAGTATAAAATGTAATTTTCTAAAGTAATGGATTTTTATTTATCAATCAAGCAGTGTTTTTCACTTTAAATGTTATTTTTAGTGGATACTCATATTTGAGTAGACTCACCATTTATTCATTAAACAGTATACTTATTTTTGTCTACCAGACTGAATATTTGAGAAATCTTATTAAAGAAAAATAAGTACTTTTAAGCAGGATCCAAAACAATGTCCCTTTGGGCAAAGGGAAACTGTCATTAGATCGAATGTGCCTAAACTGACTCAGCCACGGAGTAACCTGGCTGATCAAGCAAAGTCTGAAATGTGCCTTTAAGTGAAATCTTTCTTGCATTAAATTCCTCAAAATTTTCATATCTGCTCAGTTTTGTAGCCAAACAAAGTAATTTTTTAGGATAATGGATTTTACATAAAAATAGAGTGGCTTCCCCTGTGTGACCATTTTTATTACTGGCTCTGAATGACATCTTCATTTCAGAAATGGCACTTAAATGATGACTTGCTGTCTTGCCAGTTCCAATAACAAAAGAAATAAAAGTTAACAGTGTAATTAACATTGTTAATGAGTGATTTTTAAAATTCCAAACAAAATGGGAGGAGATTCTTGACATTTTTACGAACATAAAAATTAGACTTTACCATCACCACCTTCAGTGGATTTGATTGGCTTGAAAAACTGTTTGTCATAGTCTTTGGTGCCTGGGGACTGTCTGAGACTGGAAATTTCTATAGCATGAAATATTTCATATTTTAAAAGATGATATGGTCAAAATGTTTATAAAGGAGCATTCAGAACAAAATAGACAAGAAGCTTGGAAAGAGCAGTCACAAGCCGACATGAATGCAACAAGCATTCAAGACATCGAAGGAGGGGCTGTTGAAAACAAAGCCTGTGAATCAGAGATAAGACATTTATTGCATTATGCATAAATAGACAAGAAGCTTGGAAAGAGCAGTCACAAGGCAGGAGTAATTCAACAACCATTCAAATTGATCGATGGAACAAGCTCATCTTCTGATGTCATTAAAAAAAAAAAAAAAAAAAAAAAAAAAAGAAGACTGTTGAGCCAGACAGAAAATTAGAATTATTTTGAAGTTAAAAAGGACAAGTCA